GAAGAGCGTAACCTGACTAAAGGAAGCAAGTATTGAGTGCTGGTGTAATTTTGCAACGTGGTTGTCCTAGTGACCATGGATATCTTAACTTGGCATCTTAAACAATTATGGGTAATAACTACTTTGATCTGAGTTGCAGAGGCGTTGTAAAAGTTCTGTAAAATATCTGCTGTTGGTTTTCTGTTTTATAAAAATGCCTATACACCTGTATTGGATGACTGAGAAGATGATAAATTTGTTGTGAAGGGAATCAAGTAAGAAGTAGCGTGGAAGTATTTGTCCTGGTTTACCCTTTCATGTCTCTCTTTAAAATTGTTATTTTTTCAAACTTGCTTGTCATATATTGTTGTAATGTTTGACGAATTATACAATTCCTTTAATAAGGATACTAACTTGAAAGCAGTTTATGGTTTTTCTTATGTCTCTTGTTTTGTTTTGTTGCAGTTAGCAAGACGTGGAATGAAGGTGGTTCTCATCAGCAGGTCAAAAGAAAAACTGGACCAGGTTGCTAGTGAAATAAGTGAGTTGAAAACTTCTTTCCTAAACTTCACAGGCATGCTTGATAAATAAATGCAATTGCACATGAATTTCATACATGCTAATATATACAGATTTAATTTTGAAAAAGGTTTGCTCTTGTGCACAGTGCAAATGTTACAGATAGAAGTGGTAAAGGCCTTGCAAATTAATTTTACAGGTGTTCATATTTAACTTCTGAGAACAGTAGAGCTTAATTCTGGAATAAGTACTTCTAAAACTGTTAGTCTTCCATAAGAACAGCTTACCAGGTCAGACCAAAATACCACCTATCCCTATAGTAGCTGTCTAAAATCATAATAAGGAGAAAAACATGTAACCGTTACTTCATCTGAATATTCCCTCAGCTTGAAGCAAGTTTGATTTTATGGGCTTCAGCCACAGGGTGTTTTTTTTGTAACTCAAAGTTGTTGAAAAAATGTTCTTTATGTTACTCATTGTATTACCAAGTATACAAATTTATTGTGGGTAGCCTTCCCCTCCTCCCCCTTTTTTTGTTTTGCTTGGATAAACTACTCAAAGATCAGATTAGAGAGCTGTAAGCTTTTTTGGGGTGACGAGTGTGCGTAGTCACAGGAATATAGGGAATGAGTTAATGCATTTAAGAACATGTACGAGGGATTGTTTCTTCAATAAGTGTGTAGTAAATGGCTGTAATGCATAAATAAGAGAGCAACTTAAGTATTCCAATCACAAATGTAAAATGGATATTTGTACGGGGTCAGTTAGGAGAAAGCTTCCTCAGGTCTCATGGTGACAAATGATTTTCCAATCGGAGCAAAGTATAACCATAAGACACAAGAATTCCTCTTGTAATCTGGATCTCTTTTATTAAGGCAGATTTAATGCAAAGTTATTAGTTTATGCAGAGTATGTCAAGATACAGTGAGAAATGTAGCCTTGTGTGTAGAGTTTTTTGATAAGCAAGAGTGGGAGTTGTGTATTATAAAGCAGGTTTCTCGACATAATGATGTCGGGTAAAGAAACCTTTACGATTATGCTTCTGTCTTACCCTCCCTTGTCTTGCTTAGACTTTCCCAAAATGATTTGTGTACATAATGCAGATAATTGCAAGAACTGCTTTCCTTCAGAGGTCATAAGTGTATTATTTTGGTTTGAGTTTGTTAAAACTTGTAATAAATTTTAGTGGCACTGCTTTACTGTAAAGCATAATCCGTAAGTCAAGCCTTAACAAACTGTCCTGTACTAAGTTGTAAGGGGCCGCTTAGTGAATGTAAGGATGACTAAAAGACTCAAGGACTTCAGCTTGCTTAATGGTAACTGTTTTACTAGTTTACTGAAAAATAGAGGGCATACAATTCTGTTGATGTAAATGCCTCTGTCTCTGATTTTTAGTGTCCAATGGAAGATGGCATATGTAACTGTTTTCTAGACAGAAAAGTCTTCCTTTGTATGTGTTTGTCTAGGTGGTAGAGAGCATTCCTTCTTAGAGCAATAGATGGCATCAAGTCCTATCTTCTGCTGGTTTGGAAGTAATTTGGCATTGTTCGGTAGTATCCTGCATGTAAGGATGTCACTGCGGTGTCTGGATGTACCTGTGGTACTCTGGTCAATACAGTCACAGAGTAAATTAAACAGTATAGGTGTTACTGCTCGGGTAACCTGCATGAGTACTGAAGCTTACTGCAAAGACATACAGAAGCTGCAACAAGGAGGTCTTTTTGGTGGTTCGCCGCAGTAGCTGGATGGTAGTTTGCTGCATATGTGGGCATATACAGTCATGTTTCTTACTCTGCTGTATAAGGTTGTCTCGCTAAGTAAAAGTGTAACTGATAAAAGTATCTGCAAATACCTTGTTCTGAAATCAAACACTTAAGCATGAAGCAACAAGCTTCCTGAAAGTGGTCATAACCCTTTCTGTACCAGTCTGGAAATCTCTTCCTCCTTGGGAATTAAGCATGATGCTGACGAGAGATAAATCCACTGCTTTGAGCTTTCAGCACTTAGATGATAGCTGCGGGGGGAGTTTTTCAGATTAAAAAAATAAGTACATGTACCTATGTAGAGCAGCCTGTAATACGTAATTAATGTTAGGCCTCACCCAAACATGTTTCTGCTTTCTTTCCTAAACCTTTCAGAAATGAGATGGGTTTTCAGAACATTTCTTTTGACAATGCTGAGCTACTGAAATGTATACCTTGTTCACTGTGGCATATGCTGAAGGATTAGGATAGTCTGCATAATCAAGCAAGCCTGAGTCGCACTTTCAGATCCTGCTAGGTTTTAGCAGAATAGAATTTTCTTGTATTCAGGCTCATGTGGTCTCTGCAGTCTGTTCGGATTTGTCATATATAAGGTGGGTGACGTTTTTAGAGCTAAGGTTGTAACTACTTGAGTGTTTCCCTTGCAGGCTCCTAAGGCAGCTTTAAACTTCCTTATGGTGGTCCCACGACTGTTCTTCAAATTGACATGAGCTTGCTCTTCTTGAGTAATGACCCGTAATCACTTTAAGGAAGAATGGCTGTTTCACTAATTCAGTTCTTTGAATTGTGTGAGCCATGCATACTTTCTGTTCCTTCCTCATTTACACTGATCAGAGTCCTGCGCATCCTAGTGAATGGATAGATGCCCTCTGCCACAAATAATGAGAGGGCTTTTGAGGATCAGGTATGTTCATTCTATTTCAGAAGAATATTTTCTTGTGCTCTTATTAGGAGTGGTATCTGTGTACAAAATGCAAGTTGCATAACCACCATCATAAGGGAAGCACTGATACGTCTTTCTGAATGTTAAATGCCAGCTGACCTGGACCTGATATCTAGTTTAGTTCATGCTACATCAGTGTTCCAGCACCTTTTTAAAGTGTCTGTTGTATTACATCGTTAAACACTTTAAAAGGTTCAGAAAGAAAACTTCTCTGTGAATGGAGACAATTATTTGAACGCTGTGTAATGAGGCTGTTCCCTGATTTGCTGTATTTAATAACGAATATGGTCCAAGACATCTCAGGTGCTCCGTTCAAGATCCATGGATTTGCAAGCAGAAAAGCTTCAGTTATTGCAGTGCTGCTGGTAGGTATGTTCTGAGCAGACTTGAGAAGAACTTTGCTGTAGAAACTCGTTTCTTAGGGGCTGCAAATGAAGAATGCAGTGAAAACCAGTCAAGCAGGGAAAACACTTTAAGGAGAGCTTGATTTGGTATTGGTGTACGTTATTAGCTGGTGGCTTCACAGGACAGGTGGTGGAGTTGTGCATGAGCTGTGGGAGGCAAAAAGAACCAGTTGTAGCTAAGTAGTGTTTCTATTTGCAAGTGTAAGTACCTAGTTATTTGTAGGTAAGTGCATATAAGTGCAACACGGGAGATTTTGTGTTTGTCATCGGTTACTATTTAATTCAAAACTTTTTTTAAAGTAAATTCCCATTTGCTGCTTTAAAGCTGGTGGTTGTTGCTATTACATACACCCTGGTGATAATATTAGCTCCTAAGAAATTGTTTGGACTGAAAAAAAAATTTTTTTCCCCAATGTATTCTCACAAATGATCACTTAGCTGGAATACATTGTCTTTTAAGCCTTTAATACTGTTTAAGAACTAGTGTTCAAAACTTAAATTTGATTCTGCTACATGCCTTTCTTTAAGAAAATGTAGGTTTTTGCAATTAAAATATGCGTAACTGACTATTTACTTCCAATAAGTTTTCTGAGCTCAGCGCGTAGTGTTCCTGAAGTTGCTTGGTCATAGTAGTTTCATCTTGAGCTACTATCTAACTCGAAGATTTCAGGTACATCGTAAACTGATAGCTGTCATGTTTAGACTTGGGATCTATCGTTTTCGCAGTACTCTGGCATGATTTGTGAGTACAAGAAAGGAATGGGATGTGGTGCCAAACCCAGAAATGTTCCTTCTCCATTTCCTAGGCAGGTGGGTTTTACAGCTTTCTTCTGCTTTCTTGGTAATAAGATAGCAGGGAACATTCTGAAGCAGACCTGATGCTGACCACTGTGCTTGTGCCTCAGCTGTTACCGTGACCTACTGCTACAAATGGCCAGTGTCCCCTATGGCAAATCTGTCCCCTGCAGATGCTCAGTCGCACCTACCTGGGAGCACTTTGCCCCTTAATCTCTGCTCTGTCACTTGCATTCCTCACCCCCCCGCGCCCCGGTAAATCCTCCTTGCATTTTGGAGTTGGCAGGTAGGAATATTTGCATTTAATAGAGGAGGTTGAAATGCAGATGAACTCGGGGAGGAAGGGGACATCATCATTTTACTTTTCTTGCACAGAAATGACAGGGTTCACTTTCCTGAGCTTAACTTGAACACTAACTGAATCTGGCAGTTATTTTGACCTTTTGTGATCTATTTCAAGGTAAATTAATGTGTTTGCAGCCTTCCATCATCTGAGCCAGGTTCAGCTTGACATACTTGAAATCCCCCTATATTTCTTGGACTTGACAAAATGGCTTCAAATATTTTGGACTTGTTTTGATGCACTGAAGTCACCTTTCACATAAAGTTGGAGCATAAGGATCTTTGATTCAAAATGAGCTCTCGGTTTTCATCTCTGAAGAAAGTTTCCCTTGGATGAAGTGAAGAAAGTTCCCATGGTTTTGCCTTGAATGGTGTCAACCACTTACTAAAGGAGCAGTTGTCGGACGCTGTAGAGAGCTGACAGAGGATTCAAGTCAAATTAATTTTTATTAATTTGTCAATAAATAAAATAGATGAACCCTGAATACAATCAACAGAGCGTGTAAAAGACATAGAGCAATTAGGAAGGGAGCTTATTTTTAAATGTATTTTTTTCTTTTTTTTCTTTACAAAGCATCCTGCTTCTGCGGCTTGGGGGTTTTTCCCCCCCTTAGTCCATCTTTTTTATCATCTTCTCTTGCATTTTCTCAGTGAAATTTTGCCTGGATTAACTTGAAGAAACTGAGCAGAATGCTTAGAGAGAAACACTTGACAGATGTCCTGCACGCTACAGGATGCAGTCCTAGGACTACTTCATCTTTTAGGAGAATTTTGA